ATGTAGGGTTGAAAGGCATCAAAGATGCTGTAGACAGACACTACTTCAAGTTCACCGAAGAGAAACTGAAGAACAAAACCACAAAGGATATCATACACGGAAGTCATCAGAAAAAACATAATTCAAATATATTTAATACAAACTCTATACACAATAATTAATACACAAGAAGTTGAATTTGTACAAATGCATTTCAATTCAGTATCGATGACAATTATTTGCTTTCCACCATCTCTTCACCATTCACTAATCTTTCGCCATCGACTACTCCTTCGCCATTCACTACTCTTTCGCCATCCTCCTCCGCTTCTTCTTCCCCTGTCGCCTTCTCATCTAGTTTACTTAATAAATTTCTTATACGTTCCAGTGCCATCACATTTTTACCCAGACAACAGTTCACATGATATGGTGGTTTAATGCAGACAATATTATGAATAATTATTTCATTTCTAGCATTGACAGTTACACCTTTGATATGATTTGCGGTGAACAGTTGAAGGATTCGTTCTTGTCTACATTTTAATTCACTGGATATCTCTCCCGATTCATTCTGCTGCTGAAGACGACGAAGTTGGAGATATTGCATTGAAGAGATCTTTTAATTCCAATGGGATTTCATCGTCTAAAACCTAGAAAGAATAATGATAATATGAGCAATAATTAATTATGAAAAGAGAGTTGAACTGTCAGGTAAGTACCAATTGGGACTCAGTCTATCTAGCTAGATCCCCAAGGCATTCTGTCAACTGTGCCTTCAAACTAGCTAACATTATTTTCAAACAGTCCAATACGATAGCTTAGTGACCACTGACATTGCAACACTGACTGATGACAGAATTCAGTAAGCTTTAAGGAGAAGAAGAACAGGTCACTCTGCCGTTAAATCTTCCAATGGTATGAACTACTTACAATGATTTCACGTAGCTAGTTCTTGTAATAAAAACATGCATTGAAAACAGATGTATTAGTTATGTATTCACAACTGAGTTAAAAACGCCCGTGTGTGTATGTGTGTATGTGATTCGTTGCCTTCTTATCATAAACGCAAAGCAGAAAAATCTACAAAGTATCTTCTAGTTGTTCCTCTCGTCGAGAACTAATAAAACAGAGAGGTGTCAAGACGAACAAGCTTCTTCGTTAGATGTGGTATTCTTATTGGGCAGTTTTGATTTGCTTATTTGTGGCTGAATTTTCTGAAATCAAACAACCAATCAGATTACTGTATTTATGGCTTATATTCCTGAGGTTTCGTAAATATGACATACCGTAATATTACTGTACAACACTGTGTTATTATTTATTGTTTCCTTTAGTTCCTAGAGGAACATAGGGCTTCAGTCGCACGTCTCCATTGCATTCGGTTCTCTGCCAAAGTTTTCACCTGGCTCCATGCCTGCCCACATGCTTTCATCTACTCTTCACATCACCTCCTGCTACATGACACCCTCGCGCTGACGACCAAATAACTCGCCACTTCCTATTCGGGTTCCGATCGAACGATGGCCAGTCGTGTGATGTCACTCACTTGACGGTTTGTTTTCTCAGCATATGGCCAATCCACCTTCACTTCCTCATGGATATATGTTGCACAATTGGTTCCTGCAGTATTGGTTCGTTCATTGCCACAGATCCATCACTATTGCTGATCTTTTATGGCCGACCATCTGATCTTGAGTAGTATTGATCGGAGACAGCTGTTGATGAAGGTCTGTAGTTTCTTTGGAGTGCCCTTCTTGACGCGGCGCCAAATCTCTGATCCGTATAGTAGCACTGACTGACTCCACATTGCTGTTGAAAATCCGGATCTTGTTTTTCTTGCTGAGTGCTGTTGACCTCCACACAGACTTGAGAGTAATTATAGCTTGAGTTGCTTTCTCGATCCTCACTTTGATATTGCCATCAATTCCGTCCGCCTGTAGTTGAAACGATGCTTCCCAGATAAGTAGGCAAGTGGTTAAAGCAGGTTGTTTCTTTTTCAGATTTCTCCCATTTCTGCTGATTCTTGTCCATTATTGTTGCTGTGGCTGTTGGCCAGGGATCTTCATCAAGTACCTCCGTTTTCTCTATGTTCACCTGAAGTCCTGTCTTCTATGCATACTTCTTCTGCCAACTTGTCGCTTTTCACTTGCATATCTTCCAGTTTAGGGGAAATCAGATATATATCATTGGTGAAGTCCAGGTCCTCCAGGTTTCTGTGTGGGTCCATTTTATGCCTGTATCTTCGCTTCCCACCGCTGTCTTGCGCATTATCCAGTCTATTGCCGTCGGTCAGGACAATCATTGGAGATAGTAGGCAGCTAGTTAGCCTTGCTTTACTTCCGTCTTCGTTTAGAAGGATTCTGTGAGTTTCCCGTTGTGGATTACTTAGCAAGCAACATTCTCGTACAACTGTTGGATGAGGTGTATAATTGTTGGCGGTACCACAACACTGTGTGATTTATCAAAATAAAATCTTATCTATAATGCAGTTATACTCTACCACAGTGCCCAAGTATTATATTTATGTCTATAGGACAGCATACAACCACATATTCAAGTCAGTAGACATGTGACCCACTGGCTTGCACACTCGACATTCCGCCAATAGTTCATGGATTCAAATCCCTCCTCAATGTACTGCAACCTCGGCAACTGGTTGGGTTTCATCAGGTACCACACAACAAGTATGCCTTGTAGACATAACTTTCAATGTTCACTTCATACGCCGGCAGGTTCGTTTTCATGTACCCTGACTAAGAAATAAGATAGAATAGATTCAAAGGCCTACATCAACAAATGGGCTGATGCAACTTCCCAAATAGGTGAAGTGATCGACACATCCTACCACTAGACTTTTCCTCTGTGTCTTTAAGTTAGGAGTCAATGCAGTCCAGTCTAGTCCTGTAGCATCATCTTACATTTGACGGGAGTGAAGAGCATGTCAAACATTCGAAGACTGCTGCTCAATGAAGTGGTTATACGCAGACGTTTGTCCTTCACTATTATCTCATCTTGTTTCTATGCCCACCCCGTCCTTTACACCTGTATTCGCTAAAAACCTATTTTAGAACAACAAATTTAAGCGAACAATATTGTTTTCAATTAGATCTCATCAGGCTTAACTATAATATATATAAGTTTACAAATAAAAATTCAAATATAAACCAATCATGGTGTTTTGTCTGTAGGATAATATGATGTTGAATATAAATTGTGCAATTAGTCATAATAGTGGTAATGATAATAATAATAATGGTCTTATCAATAATAAGGATGAAAAAGTGAGGCAATGTGTGATAACACGAATAATGAAAAACAGCATGATTAAACAAACAACTGTTCAGGTGGAAGTAGTCGATAAAGGCTAGTAAAAACAAATGAACCGATTAAGTAATGTTAGATTGTAGGGGAAGTAAATGAAACACGTTTATAATGAAGATGTGATAAGATTAAGGGATGATAAGAAAGGGGTTGAAAATATAAACAAAGGGTGGTGTACAAGTCATCAGTTGATTATTTCTTCATAGGCCATGGGAGGGATAATGGCTGTACGAACTTTTTTGAACACATAGTTTAGGTTTAATAGTTCGAATGCCTATCGCCTCAGCTGTGTGCTGTAGTAGACGAATACGAAGTCTATTGGAAAGATTCGGTGGGATACGATGAATCACTTTGAAGGCTCTCGTTTTCTCGATTACATGACCACTATCAATTAAGTGTGACAAAATTGAGCTACGGATTTTTTTTGTCTTTCCTTTACCAAACCACGATGGGAGATGCTCACTAACACGTTGGCTAAGCTGTCTAGTAGTACGCCCAATATAACTGTCACCGCAAGTACAGTTGAATTGATAAATGCACATAGATGTGGCAAAACTATCAAGCTTATCCTTCGTTTGCTTCCCAATCATTCGTCGGCTAGAGAATGACAAACATAAGTGTGCTGCATAAAATGTTCTTCGTATACTCCTTGAAAGTCTTTGGAATAGAATCTCACTTGATAAGTCACCATTTAATTGTAACTTAATAAATAGAGGTTTCTTACGTGCAGTCAGAGTTTCCGGTTTTTTCTCCGATATTTTCATATGTTTCTTTATGAAACTACTCGGATAGTCCATCTCCATCAAGGAATCGTGAATATATTCAAATTCCCTTTGTAAGAGGTCATCTGTACACATCTTTCTTGCTCTGCTCGCAAGACATTTTACAACATTCCTTTTATATTTAATGGGCACGTATCTAAGGAAGTGTGTGTATTGCCCTGTGAATGTGCTTTTTCTATACACGCTTCTCCCAAGTGACCTATCTTCTCTCCTACTTAGCAAGACATCCAGGAAATATAGTTTATTCTCCTACTCTTCTTCACAAGTAAAGGTAAGCGAAGGGTGGATGTTGTTGAATTTCAGCAACAATTCGTCTATGTTAACATTCCCATCAGCTAAGATAAATGTATCATCGACATATCGGTAATACATATCAAACTGCTTGATGATGTCCTTCAATTTCCTGTTTTCAAGTTTTGCGAGAAAGAAGTCAGCTAATATTGGGCTTAATGGTGAACCCATAGCTATTCTATCTACTTGTCGATAGTATGAACCTATTTTACACAGAACGCAACTATTTTCTACGCCTGTGTAATTTTGTTTATAAGCTTCTCGTTATCCATATTCCCACCTTTACACTTTCATATCAGGTTGAAAATTAATAGCACCTTCAGTCTCCTCCTTCTTCGTTATTATGTTGAATTAGATAATAATTGTATCTAAGTACATTTTTCTATTCCTTTACGTTCCCAGTGGAACATAGGGTTTCAAGCTAGAGGCTTGAAGTTTCGGTAGCCATAGTGTTTATTTTTACAGGATGCGTTTGCTAGCCACCTCATGCCCAACCTTCTCTCTTTACTGCTCTTATTTATTTATTTTCTGTTGGTCAGCCAAAATTTACGAATAACTTATCAAACAAAAAACCATACAAAAGAGAAAACAACAAAACAGTGAAAGTCACGATAAAAAAATTCTTACTGTAACGCTTTCAACTGCTTCAGAACGAACAATAGTTGGCAGATATGTGTCATTCACGCATGAATACAAGACAAAATTACCAGTTATCGGATCGATAGTGTATACAAATCCACTGAAGACTTTATCTTCAATACAATTTAATTGTATTTTTTTATGAATTAAAGTTAAATCAATTGTTGACATCTTTATTTATGGTTGAAAAAACCAAAAAGCAACCTGTAAACAAATTCAAATCAATATAAAATTTTTAAAAATGTGTAAGTTAAATGAATCAAAATTCAGAAAAAATGTTCTCAATCAGAATATTATTTAAATAGGGCGTCAGTGGCTTCACAATAGAATCCTCACCAACTACACATGTGATCTAGGGTTCGATCTCCCCGCCAACGCATCCCTTTACCTCGGTAAGACGGTGATACGAGCAGTAAGGAGAGGAGGTTTAGCAAGAGGCTGGCAAACCCATCCTATAAAAATGAACATCACTACTTGATAATATTAGATGGTTGGAGGTTAATCGCGGGCCCAAATAGCTCAGTGGTAACGTCTCTGACTGAAGGCAGCACTGAGTGACGCGGGTTCGAATCTCAGAAGGGACATGAGTTCCTTCAGAGTGCCAACTAACACGAAACCTAGGTGGTCCAAGGCTTCCTATGGCCGATTGCTTCCAACCGTCTAATATCATCAAATCAATGTGCACCGTGATGGTGAGCCAACTGGAAAGGTGACCACATTGCAAACCTGACTGATAGAATTCAGTCTACACCAAACAAAGGACTAGACACATCACACTAGTTACTACTAGTGCTCAGTCAAAGAATATCACTACTACCGAAACTCTAAAGCTCTCGTTTGAAGCCATATGTTCCACTGGGAACGTAAAGGAATAAAGCAAAAAATATTTAAATGAAGTAAGAACAGCAAATGTGTACCAGAAGGATAATATGAGCTCATGAGCTCAGAAGCAGCAAAGACAGGACTGCAGGTGAACATAGACAAGACAGAGGTTATGAAAATAACCAATCAACAACAACAACAACAACAGCAACATCCAGCGCCAATCACCATCAACGGGAGGGATTTGAAAGAGGTTACTTCATTCACTTATCTAGAGAGCATTGTCTCAACTACAGGAGGAACGGACGAGGATGTCAAATCGAGAATCGGGAAGGCGAGAAACACATTCATCAACCTGAAACCAATCTGGAAATCTTCCTCACTCACTCAGCCTGCATCAACAACAAAATTCGGATTTTCAATACAAACTTCAAGTCAGTCAGTTCTTCTATACGGATCAAAAACTTGGCGGGTCACAAAGAATATTTCCAACAGCCTGTTGCAGACCTTTATCAACAGCTGTCTGCGTTCTATACTGAAGATCAGATGGCGGCAAAGAATCACCAACAAGAAACTATGGGAAGAAACAAAACAAGAACCAATCGCCCAACAAATATGAAGGAGAAAGTGGAGATGGATTGGACACTCGCTGAGGAGGCCGCTGGGTGACATCGCGCGTCAGGCGAATGCTCGAGTGGAACGTGAAAGGGAAGCGGCGAGTGGGACGTCCAAGGGTGACATGGAGGAGATCGTGTGATGAGGAACTGAAACAGTATGGATTAACATGGACGCAGGTGAAAAGTACAGCAGAAGACAGAAGCAAGTGGAGACGTGCAGTTGAAGCCCTATGTTCCACTATGAACCCAAGGGAACAATAATAAATAATAATAATGTTTTTGTTATTATTATTTTGAGGATTCTACTCATAGCTGGCTACATACAATCTGAACAATAACAACGAAAACATGAATTACATTAAAGATTTTGAGCATACCCATTCCACGATGATGACAAGGAGTAATTGATGACAGGAACCAAGAGAGACTGAGCGAGAGAGTGAGAGGGAGTAACATTAGTCAGGAATAATGTAAGTTGTAAGAAAATGGAGATGAATCAGGTATACGTTGAGGAGACCGTCGAATGACATCGCGCGACAGGGCATCGCTCGAGTGAAATCCGATTGGGAAATGAGGCGTGGGTCGTCGGTGCGAGGGTGACATGGAGGAGATCGTGCGGTGAGATGAGAGACTATGGGCAATCGTGGACCCAGCTGAAGAGGAGAGCAGAATATAGAACAAAGTGGAGATGTACTGCTGAAGACCTCTGTTCCACTAAGAACCCAAAGAAGAAGAATAATAATAGTTTATCCACAAAAACCTGTTGAACTCTGTCCTTTTGTTTCCAACCACAGTCGTCTAATCACTGCCGATAAATAGTCAGTCCAATCCTCTTCAATCTTAATTACTTAACAACAACTTACATTACTCCTGACTAATGTTACTCCCACTCTCTGTCACTCTTGATTGCTGTCATCATCGTGGAATGGGTATGCTCAAAATCGTTATTGTAATTTATATTTCAGTTGTATTGTTCAGATTGTATGTAGACAGCTATGAGTAGAATCCTCGAAATGAGAAAGAGAAGATAAGCTCATAGTATCCCTCTGGTACACCTCATTCAAATTTATTATTGAGAAGTGTATGAAATTTTTCAACGAAATTTATGAAGAACTGACAGACACATAGACAGACTGTGAGACAGACAGACATAGAAACTTCACGGTAAACTGGCATCATTTAGATAACGTTAGAAATCATGGGTCAGTTGAACCTGACTCAATAAGTTGTACAGCGTACTGCTTAGGCTCATCACCTCATCGCCCTAGAGACCCGATAACCTACCGCTTGTTGGCTTCATTTTTTAATAGCTCCTAAGTATGATAAACGCTAATATTATTCAGATAAAACTGATGAAAGATAGTGAGGGGAACCTAATGGCACCAAAGAGAAGAGACAAAGAGCACCTTAACCGATTACCACCTGCAATTCGTCCAGAAATACTACCGACATGACGCACAGAACTGCCAGTGGACATTGATATTCCGGCAAAAACAGAAGTCGTGAATGCCATCAAGTTATTTAAAACCGGGAAGACCGCAGAACCGAATGGAATTCTTTAGGAAGCAGTGGAAATGGATACAAAGGCCTCCGTGGATATCATCTTACCACTATTTCAGAGAGTTTGGAAGGAATGAAACGTACCTCTACTGATTGAAAGAAGGCCTACTTTGTCAAACAACCAAAGAAGGAGGATGACTTAAGCCATTGCGAAAATTGTCGCCAAATCATGCTCTTGCCCATTCCAATTAAAATACTAAGTTGCATCATCCGGGAGAGACTGGAGCATGCTCTAGACGCAAAACTCCTCCCAAAAGAGCTGAATTCAGGAGAAGCAAATCATGTACACATCAAATCGCACCGTCGAACAGAGTGTAGAATGGCAGTCAGATCTTTACATCAACTGGCTTCGAAAAAGCTTCCCACGGTGTTGACCTAAAAGTCAATTGGAAACTGTTTCAACACTATGGACTGCCTCAAATCTTTAACAACCTCATTCAAAAGCGACATAATTATTCAAGATGTCAATTAATTCACGATGGAGAACTTAGCGAAGCCCTTGAAGTGAAAACAGGGGTAAGAAAAGGTTACCTTCTATCACTAGTGATATTATTCACTGTGGTAGTTTGGGCTATGTAGAAGACCATGAGGAGCGAGAAGACAGAAATGCGTTAAGCCGACAAGAAGACTCTAGAAGACATAGACTTCGTAAACAATTCATGTTGAATGTCACACAAGTTCACACACCTACAGGAGAAAACCAACAAGTTGTTGGCAGAAGCAGAGAAGGCAGGACTCCAAGTAAACATTGAGAAGATGGAGGCGATGAAGATAACCAACAAACAGCACCAACAGGAGAATTTTGAAAGAGGTCACTTTCTTCCCTTATGCGGTCAGGCGGCACGGATGAAGTTGTCAAAGACAGCCAGGATCGGAAAGCAAGAACAGACCTTCAATATTTTGAAATCAGTACGGAAATTTGCTGCACTCAACACAAAGAACAAGACTCCGATTTTCAACACTAATGTTAAGACAGTCCTTCTATATGCCTCAGAGACTTGACGTGCGCATCACTAAAACCATTTCCAACAGACTTCAGACTCTTACCAGTAGCCGTCCCATTATGCCTATTAGATGGCCAGAGAGAATCAGCTACAAGGGACTATGGCAACGTACAAACAACCAAGTACCTATGTTCCAACAAATATGCAGAAGAAAATGGAGATGGATCAAACACAGGCTGAGGAGACGATTTAGCGACACATCATGCGTCAGCGTCTCTCAAGTGGAACCCAAATGGTAAACGACAAGTTGGCCGTCCGAGGTTGACATGGAGGAGATGCGATTTTATAGGAGAACATCCAAACAGGTAAAAAGGACTGCAGAGAACAGCAGTGAAGCCCAATGTTCCACTCTGAATCCAAGGAAATAATAACAATAATATTCAACAACTGAATAAGCGTTTGTTAGAACACGAGGTGATAAATTATGACCCACACGATCTGTGAACCAGATATTTGACATTACCATGGATCAAAGACCATATCATTGATTCTTTACTGATACATGGTCCAGTCAGAACATAACATAGTTTTTATATGTTAAACCACTAATCCAGTAGTCAGCCGAAATAGCTATACAACTAGTTGTAATTTCTAGTTATATAGCCTTTTTCATGAGAATCCTTGTTGCCTTCATAGTCAGTTTTCTGTCGTTCTCAAAGTGAGAATAGTAGTCGAGCGATCCATCGCATATTGTTGCTGTGTGTGTGTGAATTCAAAAGAAACAAGTCATGTATCGATCAAATCACCACACTACGGATCATCATTGAACAGAGCTTGGAATGGCAGTCACCTCTCTATCTCTCTTTGAAAAGGCCTTCAACGGCGCCGATCGAGAGGTGATTTGGCAACTACTTCGCTACTACGAGGTGCCGCCGACGATTTTGCACCCCATCCAACAGCTGTACGACAGTGCTGCATGCCAAGTAATCCACAACGGGAAACTCACGGAATCCTTCTAAGTGAAGACGGAAGTAAGACAAGGCTGGTTGACTGCCTACTATCGCCAATGATTTTCCTCATCGAGGGCGGTAGACTGGATAATGCGACAAACAGAGGCGAAAAGGGAGGAAACAGGCATAAAATGGACCCACACAAAGAATTTGGAGGATCTGGACTTCGTCGATGATATATGTCTGATTTCCCACAAACTGGAAGATATGCAAGTTAAAAGCAACAAGTTGGCAGAAGAAGCATCAAAGATAGGACTCCAAGTAAACATAGAGAAAACAGAAGTGATGAAGATTCTTGGGCAACACCAACAGCAACAACAACAACAGACAACAATCAGCATAAATGGGAGAAACCTGAAAGAAACAACCTCCTTTGCCTACAAGCGGAACTGACGAGGATATCACAGCAAGGATCAGGAAAGCAAGACAAGCTTTCATTACTCTCAAGTCTGTGTGGAGGTCAACAGCACTCAACATCAAAAATAAGATCCAGATTTTCAACTCCAATGTGAAATCAGTCAGTGCTACTATACGGATCAGAGACTTGCACTGCGCGTCATAAAGAGCATCTCAAACAAACTACAGACCTTCATCAACAGCTGTCTTCGCTCAACACTGCACAAGATCAGATGGCCAGAAAAGATCAGCAACAGGGATCTCTGGCAATGAGCGAACCAACCAGGAACTGATTGTGAAACAAATAGGCAGGAAGAAATGGAGATGGATTGGCTGGCCATACCCTGAGGAAACCATCAAGTGACATCACTAGACAAGCCCTCGAGTGGAAGCCGAAAGGGAGGCGGCGAGTTGGTCGTCAGTGCAAGGGTGACTTGGAGGAGGTCATGGGAAGAGGAGATGAAAGCATGTGGGCAGACTTGGAGCCAGGTGAAGACTTTAGCGGAGAACCGAACGCAATGGAGACGCACGGCTGAAGCCCTATGTTCCTGCAGGAATTAAAGGAAATAATAATATAATAACAGTGTGTGTGTGTGAGAGAGAGAGTTTAAGTGACAGCATAAAGAACACAGCATTATCCCACTTAAATCAACATTAATGTAAATTGTTATTATTCTCTTGCACTACGAGTGGAACAAAAGGATTCATCACACAACTCAAATTCCCCCTCCCCAACCATTCTCAACTGGTTCCACAACTATTCAAAAGCTTTCATCTCCAACACATTTCCCTTCAAATCATTCATTTCAGATCACCCTCAGATACCCAGACCGTCGATTCTCATTCTCGTATCACTCAACGGTATAGCGTGTGGTGTCACAACAATTTCCTGAAAGTATATGTTCAATTCATCCCTACTTTCCTCTGTATATAAATTTGATAGGTTCTCCGCAGGTTCGCTACTTGCTAAAGTTCATTACTGTCCATCATTTCTGGCAGATGATTTCATTTCCCGTACAACTGAAAGCAACCTTTGATGAAAGTCTGTAGCCCCTTCAAAATGCTTTCCAAATAACGCACACACTAATCCTCTCAATAGTGTAGAACCACTAATATCTTGTTATTCTAAAAAAAATTCGTCTTTTTCTCCCTGTACTAAGTGGCATAAATCCTCACATTGAATTCAACTTCGATGCGATCCTGGCTGGCACACAAATTCCTCTACGAGCAACAAACACTTCAGGGAAGAGTACCTTTTCAACGGATTGACTCAATTACTTATACAATCGCAATTAAATATATAATTATTTTTGTATACATGTGTACATAGAACAAGAATAGCAATTAGTTCGGAGGATCGCTTAAACCATAAAAATATTTCAACTGGCTAACTGAGTAAAGATTAGTAAGTTCATATGAACAGCGTTCAGAAAAAAAACTGAATGTTAATGGAAGAGTATGGAGACAAGTTTCAAAATCAACTACACACTACGTAAGGAGAGTGAACAAAAGGCTAGTTAACAGAATAATGTTAATAAATGTCACACGGAAAACGCATTCATTAGTACTAATAGCAAGCTGTTGAGGATGGTTCAACTTGGAATTATATTCAAGGCTGAAGGAGACTATGGAGAAGTTTCTTCTGTGTATATAAATCAGGGTTTTCCATCTGAATCGTTAAGTCCTAGACAATTATGCCAACTATACGAAAGTATCTCGTTTCCACAAGGCTTCTTTTGACTTTGTAGATAACATTGAATGAATTCTCCTTGCATACTGAGTAGATAATGTTGAATATATATCTTCAGTTATAGTACTCCTTATTCGTTCATTGCGACCTTTCTCTAACCAGTTGGGATAATGTTCCCTGACTCTTTAAGATAAAACACACCGAACGACTTATATACTTTGCTCAACAGGAGCAAGTGATGAATCGGTAGATACATATAGAAGTAGTCAGACGTGATAGTTTATGTTTAGAGTTATTTGAGAACATTGGATACACCGGATACAATTAATGCTGGAAACAGATTTCCAACGTTATCTATTTATCTATCTCAAAGCACATCATAGAAACGGGTCATAAAGTTGATTTCAAGAATGAATTTAAACCCATACATGAAACAGGTTTGTGTATCTACCAATTTATCACTTGCTTCTGTTCAGCGAAGTATATACGTCATTCGATGTGTTTTTATCATAAGAGAGTCAGGGAACATTATCCCAATTGGTTAGAGAAAGGTCGCAATGAACAAATAACGAGTACTAAAACTGAAGATATATATTCAACATTTTCTACTCACTATGCAAGCAGAATTCATGCAATGCTTTCTACAAAGTCGAAAAAAAGCCCCGCAAAAACGATATGCTTTCATTTACTTGGCATACTTGTCGAGGTATTAACGATTCAGATGGGAAACCTTGATTTATATATGCAGGATGGAACTTCGCCACAGTCTCCTTCAGCCTTGAATATAATTCCGAGTTGAACCATCCTCAACAGCTTGCTATTAGTACTATTGAGTACGTTTTTCGTATGGCATTTATTAACATTATTTTGTTCATTCTCTTCACCTAGTATATAGTTGATTTTCAAACTTGTCTCCATACTCTTTCACTAACATGCAGTTTTTTTTCTGAACACTGTTCATATAAACGTACTAATCTTCACTCAGTTAGCCAAGGAAGTTACACTTTGATTATATATCAGTGTTTTGAAATATTTTTACGATTTAAGCGATGCTCCAAACGAAGTGTCGTTCTTTTTCTATGTACACACACAGACGAAAATAATTGCTCATGAATTCGAATTTAGCACGTGGGACATTGATGAGTAAGTGAATGTGGTAACTTCCTTTATATATGTCTCATCGATATTGATTGGTCCTTTCTGTCATTAGTCAGGCAACTTCATTACTTCTGTCTTGTCTATTTCTCCTTCGTGCCTTACCTAAGATGCCTCTTCTGCTCAACCGCCAGTTTTTTTCCATACCTGCGTGTTTTTGTGACATGGGACATGAATCATCTACGAAATCTATATGTTGAAGGGGTCTTCTTGTGGGTCCAAAGTCTGCACGACCTAGCCCACCACACTCACGAATATCATCCGATTGAGTAGGGAGCCATCTCTTACTCGTGTTTTGATTTCAAATACTTCGGTGAGCCTTAAGTGGTGAATTACTCCACATACCGTATCATCATGACAGCCACACCCTCGGTGTTCTTATCCTTGTCATCTAGTAGACAACTGGCTACCAAGTTAAACAATTTGAATATCCTAGTTTCAATGCATCTCAGGCGACGGATTTTCAACACTCCTATATCATATTTCCATATTTGATCTGCAATCTGAGCACCTTTATCAGCCTTAAACATCCTACGGACACCACATATCGAAAGAGGATACATCGGCCGACAGACTTCCAGACGGCTTTCATCTGCCAGCAATATCTGTCCTCGAACTGAAGAGTTTCACCTATTCCAGAAGAGAATAGGTTTATGAATTCTGCAATAGCAATGGGGTTGTTTTTACTGGGTGTGATCGCTAGCCTCCCCCCTCCGCCTTAAACTTTCTTCCCACCAGTTTTAGTATCAACCAGTACACTATGCGAGGTGTGTTTCTATAAACAATTCAAGTGGATTTCCTAACTGATGACCACTTTTTTCTAAAATATCGTTTGAGACTTATGCATTTTACCAATTCTAGGTAATTTCCACTCGAAGAGTACACGACAGTAAACAATATTATACGAACTAATTGAAAGAAAAACAGTCAGACAGGACACATCAAAAACTTATGCAATGTAATATACGATACTATAAACAACAACCACATAAAAAGAAAGCAACCTGGAGAGAAACAAGATTCAAACTTCATGAAAATAAATTTATTTTATCAATATTTTTATAAAAAACTGTACACAATTATCAAGAAGGATATCGAAAAAAGAAGAGTAGTAGGAACAAAAGAATTACTCAAAATAACAGTCAGAATCTTTAGATGATAACTTTTCAAGTTCAGTCTTCAACATACATACTAAATGACGTTTAGTTACACAAGAGTTTGCAACAGCTAATAATAGTTTCTCTTGAGCAGGAAGATCTAGATCACAAGTGGTCAGTTTACGTACTGCTTCTTGAGCTCGTTGTATGTTTGAACGCATACGAGTAAGCCGACGAACGAGATCAGCACTGTTTGGTCCGCTAGTCGTCAAAGGATTCGTAGAGTTTGTGTTATCCGACACAGAAGTGCTAATATCATCATAGTGAAAGGCTAACAAGTCTTCCACTATTTCACTTAAATCCACTCGAAGCTCAGGAGGAATTGACGATGTTGATTGACGTGACTGTGACATGGCTAAATATAAGTTACATATAATTCAGTGTTTAAATTCATGAATAAAGTAAATAGATTCAAACAAGAGTATGACGATACGAAAAACAGGGGGGAAATTCCGATAAATAAGCGTGCATTTTTGTACAATGTAATTAGTATTAATAAGGATACAACTTTGGCAGTGTGGTAAAGTATAATTCCATAGTGGAATCAAACAATTAGTAATTCATTAGTGAAAATTTAACTCTTCACGGCAGATAACTGGAGGTTCATGGAAGTGTGTATATGGCATTTGCAATAACCACTATTTGGACAGAATTATTCTATGACGAATCTCTCTACGATGTACAATAACCAATCTAAGGTAGAAAGTTTCATTGGCATAATTTTATACAAAAATGAATTATTAAGTTTAGAGAGAGAGAGAGAGGGAAATTTTATATCGTTGCTAAATTTCGCCTACAGTGCGGTATTAATTCTTTGCTCGTCTTTCTGAAACCAGAGGTTTAAGTGAATATAAAGTGACCATGGTAACAATTTGGAACTCCATGTGTCAGTTTATTAACCACAACACTAATGACACTACCTCACAAAACAACCCCTGAAAAAATTGAAAACAAATTCCTTGGTGGTTGCCCATAAAATAGAGGCATGGAAACAGAATGCTTGTTTGGTGTTTTCTGAATAGCCTGGTGGCGATGAGATATCCAGCTCCTTATCAAAGGTAAGCCAATCGATAAGGCTACGAAGCCAACCAAACTGCTACTTCATTCTGAAAAGGTGGGGGTTGGGAAAGGTCAATCCCGAAAATTGTACACCTCCACTTACCTTACGACGGCCTGTAGATGGTCGTCCGACCTTCTAAGAGCACTAAAAACAGGCCGTTTGACTGGCCTCAAGTAGTTGTATTCTGGGTTTTTGCAGGGGGTGGGTGTCTTGCGCTGCGGGTTGGCCACCCCCCCCCGCACACCTCTTGAAATGCTCCCATATGACCGGGCGTCTTACATAGCCTCTCCTGAGGAAGTCCTACTCACTGCCTTCATGTGGCGGAGATGTTTTTCACCAAAGTGAGAGGGCGAAAGCGGATGCCCGGCGCTGTTCACCGGGTTGACTGTCCAATGGATGACAGTCTAGGGGAGATGGCTAAACCCTGATTCCAAACCTCCAACGACTGGCGTATGAAGCTCACTGGAGCTCACCGGGAGACGTATGGACAAAGGGCTTGTTGGATGTTCTGGATGTCTGGCCCGATTCAAAAAGGCGTATGAACCGAACTCCGGCCACCGGCTGCCAATGGATAGTGGACTCCCTACTCCACTCCTACTGCCTTGTAGGTCACACTTGGTTGTGTAAAGGCTAGAGCTGCACTCTCAAACAAAAGGCCGAGCGATTCTAGGGACATCATTCGTACCGAATTCCCATGAAACTTCATGAAGTTCATGAAGCCGGCTCATCCTCTCGTAGGAGATAGCCGAAGTAAAGTAAAATGTACAAAACAACCCCTAAAAAAAATGAAAACAAATTCCTTGGTGGTTGCCCATAAAATAGAGGCATGGAAACAGAATGCTTGTTTGGTGTTTTCTGAATAGCCTGGTGGCGATGAGATATCCAGCTGCTTATCAATGGTAAGCCAAACGATGAAACTGCGAAGTCAACCAAACTGCTACTCCATTCTGAAGAGGTGGAGGTTAGGAAAGGTCAATCCCGAAAACTGTACATCTCCACTTACCTTACGACAGTCCGTAGATGGTGGTCATACCTTTTAAGGGACATAACTCGGATGATCACTACAAACAGGCCGTGTTTGACTGGCCTCAAATAGTTGTGTTCTGGGTTTTTGCAGTCACGTACTTCAAGAACCAGGAAGTGACAATCGCTCACACACTTCCCAATTCTAATAGTAACCTAAGAATGACCGGAGACATTTACAGACCACAGATATTAACTACTGAAATTTAACACCAACGCATAACCTCTTAAATCTGACATCCCACCAGACACCCAGCTGTTATATTATTCTAAAGGTAGTTCTTACCTGTTAAACTAACACTAATACTAGACCTACTCCATGAAAACATTAACAAATGGATAATATCTCTCATATCAGTCAATTTTGACTCATTTCCAATCTATGCATAACTCTGGTTTTTCTTGTGTGATTACCTTCAAATAATGGTCAAAGTCCGGTTGACATTATTTCTTGTTGTTCCAATCAAACCAAATGCTTTAAAAATATTGTTAGTTCTATTTTAGCTCTTTCACTTTGCTATAAGAAACGCCCATTTTAGTCTCAAGAATTTTTGCTAACTGGGTACTTCAATTATTCATTTGCTAGCTTCCTCAAGGTGAGAGTATTAAACTTCATTCTGGCTATCGAATAACTGTCCACTTGAATTCATTCGAAAGCTTTAAGACCAATAAGAAAAATAATATAGTTCTCATTCAACAAACGAAGAGAAAAGCTGTGTTACTGCAATGAATGCACTTGCAAATAAGCACACATGTTTGGACACGATAGAAATATTTTTTTAAATATAGTCAGGAGGAGAGCGACTGATCACCCAGTCTTTGATCATCGAACCAACACCAAACACCTGGGATCAGAATGATGCAACGCCTATCCCTGAAAATATAGGACATGACAAACAGGAGGAAGTGATGCTGAGTTACCAAGTCACGCTTATATAGTGGTATCATTGTGTGCAATAGCTTATGCTCAAAACATGATCCAGCTATTAATATTGTATCACTGTAATATACAGAATAAACTTGTCTAAGGTGGAATTATGTTGTACGGCAGAGCCTAAACTTCACCTTACATTATTGAGAAAGGGCTTTCATCCTGTTCTCCGTTGAATCAAAAGAATTTACAGAATTTACAATCAGCTGTATATCTTATTTGGGAAAACCTTAATGTATGCATAGTACATCAACTTTAAAGCAAATACACTCCAGATGACGGAACCATGGACAAAATATACTCCTTTTGATACCTCACCAGAGACATGTACACCTCTTCATATACATCTCTGGTGAGGTCCAGACTAGAAAACTGCATCCAGGCAACCAGTCCTTGTCTAGAAGGGGACTCACATATTCTAGAAAGGGTTCAAAGGAAGGCAACACGTATGGTTTTCGGCATGACCAACTTATCACACGAGGAAGGACTAGACAGTTTAAATCTATTCTCCCCGTCATACCGTGGGCACAGAGGAGATTTTATCACAATGTTTAAAATTTTAAATAATGACTACGGACCTGACTTATTCTCTCTTTTCCTTCCAACCAGGTCGGAACACCTTAGAGGATATAGCAGGAGAGTTCAAAAGCCAAAAGGAAATCATATTGCTGTTGAGTACTGCAGTACTCCATGGTTTATCACTCCAAGTCATAGACTCATGGAACCGACTCCCAGAAGAAGTGGTGTCTGCAATCTCAACTTAGTCACTCAATGATTTGGAAAAGTACAGATATTTACTGGAAAAGGATTAACCTAGGCTCCAAGCCTTTTATCTTCAACTAAATCTGAAAAATCTTTATTTGGTTTTACAGTTTTACGTTCTTAAGTCGCAGAAAAATTATTCTTCGTGGCATAAATGCTTTTTTATAACTGTAGAAACTCAAATGCGAGTTTCGAATAAGATATTCACTGTGAATTGCTCACTATAATGACATATACAATCAGTGAAACCTAATCGCACACAACAGCGAACGGTTTGAAGCCTACTGTTTGACAAACTACACATACAGAAGTGTGAGTGAGCTGAAACCAGGACACACTTTGTGGTGTATTTAAATAGCACAACAACAATCTACATACCGTCTCCCGTCACACACTTTTAACGTAACGTACTCAATCAACTTACCGCTTTACAATATTCAGTTTCCAATGTCCAATATCGTTTTTACGGGCTAGTATAAACCAATTTGATTTCTTTGTGCTCGCCTCTTGATTGTGAGATAGACGTTCCTGATCTTCGGTAAACGTCTGCGTAGCTCTTTACGCCACTCGACTGTAGTGGCTTTGGTTGACTCCAAAAGGAGTAGTGCAAGCATTAATAATACGTGGTTTGTAATATGAGGTGTGTTAAGACTGTTACTACTGTGAATGGAGTTGATCCTTTCACCAGTTAGTCCTCCAGTATCATCGTCAAAAGAAAAGAGATAATAATAATAGATATAATCAGTGAAGGTGGTTAGGACTCTCGCCGACCATGCACATGGTCCGGGGTTCGATCCCATGCCGGCGCACACCCGATATCTATGGTCGGTCTGCAAAATTTGGGCTACCGATATCCATGCTGAAAATTTCACACTTGTACTGAAAATACGGTGTGGAATCAAGCTGTAAATCAAAAAAGGTACTCAGACTAACAGACAGAAAAAGAAATAAGAAAACGTAACAAGTCAGTCAACCAGTATATATATATATATATCATATGTATACACTTCTAATAATGATAATAATAATAATAGGTGTAGTTAAAGCTGTCAGCAGAGTGAGACGGAAGAGAATGTAAAGAATTAGAACTACAAGTTTAATTGTAAACCCTTGATTGGTGTATGCGATTTTAAGGGGATAGGCCATTCGGATGCAGTCCTTGTGCCGCTGCAGGGTTTTCCAGCCTTCAAATAAAGGCGTCCACAGACGGTGCAATAGCTACATCTACCGGCAAAGAATTCCAGGGACGGCAAACCCGCAGTGAAAAGAATTGGGAGCGCACCCGGATCCTTGTCTTCTGATGAGCTATCGTTGGACTCTTTCCAAGAGGTTGGCGCCTCTTCTAAGCAGTGTTATGCAATAATATTATGCACTTCAGGGTGTAGTCTGACCTTAGAAAGAGCTCGGGAGTGAGTGCACTTAACTGTCTCTATGTGTAAAGTGTCTGACCGCATATGCCTTCGCTAAATCGCCCGTGTAATTTACGCTTGTGTCCATTTTCGCCGTTAGAATTAGACCTAAGTCACGTTCCAACATTGTGCAGGAGAATCTTTCACTGCACAGGGTGTAACTTGCACTCATCAGTCTACAGGTGCGTAACTTCACTACTTTGCACTTTTTCAGGTTAAAAGTTATGTCACTGGCCACCGCCCAGTCCTCCAGAAGGTTTAGATCTTCCTGTAGCCTATCTGAGTCCTCCGGCACTGAATCGCCCTCCACATAACGTAGGAATAGTAACAAGTAACCATGTTAACCTCTCCCCCAATAACTATGGTTTACTAACGATTATGCTCCTGAATGCTAGATCTCTCCTAAACAAAATAACATCGCTTCGCTGCCTGGCATACATAGAACGGCCAACACTAATAATGGTGACTGAAACCTGGCTTACTACTGATATACCTGACTCAAAGCTAGTAATAGACAACTACGACATCTATAGGAACGATAGAGTTGACAAAAGAAGAGGCGGCTGCTTAATATATGCCTCTAAATCCACTAACTCCACTACTTTCAATGACCCAACTACTGACAAACTCCCTGAATCTAAGTGGATAAGCATCCACACAAACGAAAATAAAATTCCCATGGGATGTATATACAGACCCCCTAATAGCCCTCAAATGACTGATATAACTATTGGAGAAATACTAGAGCATGCAGCTACGCTGGACTTTGACTAGAGAGTAGTCTGTGGCGTTTCAACTTACCTGGAGTAAACTGGGATACCTGTACAGGACCTAGAATCCATGACGAGTTACTACAAGCTATAGACGTAGGCGGATGGAAGCAGTGCGTACGCCTCCCTACAAGAAATGAAAACACTCTTGACTTAATCCTTTGTCATGAAATAGAGCCCATCTCGATAGAGGTAGGAAATAAACTTGATAACAGCCATCACAACATATTGTACTGCACGCTACCCCTCCGACTAACAACTAAACACACACCTAAAAATTCCCCGGTGCACCATCAATATAGGGACTATAAGAATGCTGATTGGGAATTCCTATCAGGTCTGTTGAGAAGTTGTGACTGGGAAGAATACTTCATCAACAATAACTTAGAAGTATCACTTGATATTTTCTACAAAACAATTGGCTCAGCAAGAGACACAATCGCGCCCCTAAAATCTGCTCTAAAGACACTAACTCCATTTATAGACCGCAAAACGCGACTAAAACTAAAGAAATTAAAAAGGAAATACCATGTATTTAAGGAATTTAATGCGTTAAACCAAATACATGAAACTCTTAAACGGCTTGAAGATAAACACAAAATGATGTCACAACTTGAAGAAAATAAAGCGCTTGTGGGTAACTCCAAAACTCAGGAACTTTGTAGGATATTGCAGAAACGCCTAAAAAGCAGTAAAGACAATACTGTAAGCAGCTTGGAACATAAGGGTATAATATATAATGATCCCCAGGTTATAAGTGAACTCCTCAATGAGTGGTTTTGGAATGACGCCAGAGTGCACCCGACCCAAAATTTCCAAATGACCTGCAAAAGTAACCACAAATTAGGCGAAATAGACTTTAATATACAAAATATGGACTCGGCGATTAAGAAATTGAAGTCTAATGGTAGTACTGGAACAGATGACATACCATCTGTCATATACAAAAATGGTAGCACGGAAATGGTAGTCTTGTTACTTAGAATATTTACTCTCTCGTTGGAAACTGGAACTTATCCTGAAGTGTGGAAAACCACATACATATTACCTAAGCACAAAGCAGGGGCCAAAACCAGTGTATGCAACTATAGACCTATCAATATAACACCGGTAATATCCCGAATAATGGAGAAAGTGGTTAAAGACCAAGTGTCAGATAACTTACTAGAACATGAACTTATCAATCCATCACAACACGGATTTCGTAAAAAAAGATCATATGTGACCTGTCACATAGACTTTTTCAACGAAGTTACACGAAGTAGGGACAACAGAGAACTAGTAATTGTACTATATTTCGACATAACAAAAGCCTTCGACAGAGTTCCCCATAATCTGCTAGTCAGCAGGTTATGCTCACTAGGGATATGTGATCCTCTCCTGAGCTGGATAAAATCATTTCTGTGTGGCCGAAGTCAGACAACGAAAGTTGGCTCGATAATCTCAAGGCCTAAACCAGTAAGTAGCGGTGTGATCCAGGGAAGTGTATTGGGCCCACTCTTATTCATAATATATATAAACAGTATCTGTGAATGCTTTAGTGTAGGTAAACCAATACTATATGCAGATGACTTAAAAGTGACGTATAAATGCAAGAACACAGATCTCGGAATAACAGTAAACGCCATACAGCAAGAATTAGAAAAAGTGGATAGATGGTGTGACACCTGGCAACTCCAATTTAATGTCGAAAAATGTGGCTGGCTCTGCATAGGTTGCAACAATTTAGAACTTGACCTGACAATTCAAGGCCATGCACTTCAACGACTGGAATCTGTACTGGACCTAGGGCTGAAATATTCACATAACTTATCATTTTCTGAACATATCTCCAAACAAGTGTCAAAGTCACGCAGACTTATCGGCTTTCTACTCAGGAACTTCTACAGAAATGAGTCTACAATTCTGTTGTACAAGGTTTGTGTGCGTCCTTTATTTGATTACTGTTCATTCATGTATAGTAGCATACGCATAGAGGGCAAATTGAAAGTCGAGGGAGTGCAGAGGTACTTCACGTTAAAATTACTCGGAACCGAAAATTGTGCGAACTACTCCACTAGATGTGATACCCTAGGACTAGAAACACTATGGCTAAGACGCCTGAGACTAAACTTAACACTTTACTATAAACTTCTAAACCACTTACTTTTTACCTCTACTAATGGCACTCGACTTTCAGATGACAATGGCTACAAACTAAGACACACTAAGGGTACAGTAGCTATTGAACAATGTAAAACAGCCACCAGGCAAAAGTTTTACTTGATTAGGTGTGCACAGATATGGAATAAACTGCCAATGGAAATGCGTCAAGCAAGTACATTGGCCTCCTTCAAAAAGGTGCTTAATGACAAACTACAAGAGTTTGCAAACGATAGTAGTTCTAGTTCCTATCTGAGAGCCTCCGAAATTATAGGTCCATTTAATGTATAACCTTAAATACTACACCTGTTGTTTTTTGCCTATATTTATAATTCTAGATAAAACCTTAACGGTTAAGATACGTATCCTCAAACAGACAAGAAATCTCCTTTGTAAAACTACTATCCAACACAATAAGTCGAATAAAATGGACATAAACCGACAACATGAAAAAGGTATAACTCACCACAACATCACATGGACAGATGAACGCTCGTTGGGCACCATATATCCCTCACCAACTGCAACCCACCTTTCCTTAGATAATGTGATGAACTTATATCCATAATGTTGCTGAGCAGTTAATATTCTCAACTCCTGTCGGAACAGCTGAATTTCATAAACCTTCCTCACGCTAAGAAAATACCCACAAGCAGTAGAAATCCATTAATTAATGCGTCTGAAGCTTATGTACTTACTCCCAACAATGACATTGCAGAACAAATGAGATAAGCATATCACTGATTTGAAAATAACACATCAATGAACTATAATTCGAGGACTCTGCACACAACAAAGTTATGTATGAATATTTACTTCAAGCTTTATTTTTTTCCCAGGCACTTATAATCCATCCACCAAAGAACTGGTTTTTTTGTTAATGCGAAGACAATACTTCTATATTTCCTGTTGTGTTGCACTCACTGACAATCTAGCAGACTTTTCCAACTTTGCACAGAAATGATTGTATATAAGTGAAAAGGCTGTTTTATAATACTGGGATTAACATTTATCAAGTGTATGTATAATCTCCAGCGAACATGTGAAGCATATCTTGCTGCTGCCTGTAAATTGTGATTGAATTATATGGTTCTATTTCT